TTTTGGATGTGCATAGGGATTTGATTCTTAGAAGGTCCCACTCATCTATTTTATCTTCTCCTGGTTGTAAAAACTAGTATTTTTTTAAAGCTAAAAAGAAAAAGAACAAACTCTATAATGTGAACAGGTTACCACTGACTTCTTAAAAATAATTTTTAAAAAAGGACAGAGTTGTTAACAAACAACTGAATTTTTTTTTTAAACTGTAAGAAGGAGGAGAAGAAAAATGCTAACCCAGAATTCAATGACACAAAACGGTATTTCAAGAATGAAGGCAAAATAAAGATACATTAATAAAGAAAAATGAAACAGAATTCATAGTTAGCTGATCCTGACAAATATTAAAAAGCAAAATTCTGCTGCTATTAAGTAATTTCCAACTCACAATAATGCTCCATTTGGTTATCTGAGGCTGTAAATCTTAAGGGGAAGAGTCTGTCCATATTTCTCCTAGAGAGCAACTAGGAGATTCAAACCGATGGCCTTTCTGTTAACAGCCCCATATACGACGCACTATGCCACCAAGGCTCCTTATGGCAGCTTCCACATATGGGCAACAGATAGAAAAGAGACCTGCACTACTGTAAGGTTTGTAAATTTTACATGAAGCGATACCAATTTCTTTCTTAGTAAGGCTATAACAAAATGTACATATAACAAGTGCATAATGAAAAGAATAATAACAGACAAGGCTAAAGAGCCAAAAATTCTAAAAAAATATTCCACTCACTCAAAAGGATACAGGAAAGGAGAGGGGGAAATTTAGTAAAATGTCTGTAGTCTTATGTACAATAATATCAATAACTATATGAAATTGAAATGGACTAACCATTCCAATTAAAAGGCAGAGATTGTCAGAACTAATTTGGAAAAGCACGATCCAACTCTCTGGTGCCACAAAAGAACCATTTAAAATATAAACATACAAAGAAGTTGAAAATTAGAAAGAGCTGGTAGGCCTAAGAAGCCTGGAATGTCTGTAACATCATTCAATATAAAATAGACTTCAAGACAAAAATCATTCTAAGAATCAGAAGGAATCTTTTTTAATGATAGAAGGATCACATAATCAGGAAGCATTGACAATCTTCACTGCATGTTACCTAATACTGCAAAGATAGTAACTCTGGCTAAATTTATCTATAAATATTCAGTAACTCCTAATCAAAATTCCTATAAACTTTTCTTTTGCAGAAGAGAAAATCCAAAATTTATATTAAAAAAATTCTACAAACAAGAATAGCCCCACCTGTCAGTCAATAAATGCCAACCATGTGTATGATAGAGTAAGCAAGACGAAGTAACTGAATAGCAAATTCTCTAGAGGCAAATTTCCAACTTACCTTTCTGTGTTTTACCAGTATATTTCCATCAGGCCCAAATACAGCACATGTGTTATATAATTTCCCAGCATCTGCTTCAGGAATGGAACCTTTCATTGAGAAACACATATGCACACAAAACAGTCAGAATAATGCAATTATTTTGTGACAACTTGACAAAGGCTTTGACAAATTGTCACTTTCATCTAATAATAAAGTTTACAACATTTTAAGGTTTATGCACTCATAGTATTTTTAAAATCTCTCTTCTTGTATATAATCTTTAAGAAATCAATCTCAGAGTGTAAACAAAATGTTGTTTTTGTTAAGTGCCGTCGAGTTGCAGGGGACTCACAGCGACCCCATGAGCAAAAGTCCTGGGCACCTCCTGTATAACTTGCGTCCTTTCTCCAAAGTTCATAGGATTTCCAGAGGCAAGATATTATGGAAGTGAATGCCACTCCTGCTTCCAAGTAAACAAAATATGTGTTCAAACCAACCAAAACTAACCAAACTGATTCTGAAATTGGGCCTTGCTCTTGAGCAACACTTAATATATAATATTAGAGCAATAGAGGGTGGGCAACTGGCAGTTCCTTTTTGCACAAATTAAATTCACCAGTTCCTCCAACAGTCCTGAACTCAAAAAAAGCCTCAAGACAGGTTGTTAAGTAACAAGTCTCTGAACATCATTTCTGCAGTTTTATCTCTGTGCTCCTTGCTTTGCCTTCATTTCTGGACTTCCAATGGTATGAATGGCTTAAAAGCCACTGAAAACCCTCCTGTGCATGGCTCTCCTCTGAAACACACTGGGTCAGCATGTGTGGAAATTCACCTACAGCAACTTGACAGTCTAGGGTGGTTTGTTGTTTTGGTATTTAAAAAAAACACAACAAGGGAGCTCTGGTGGCCTAGTGGCAAGAAGCTGCACTGTAATCCTGAAGACACACGGTTCAAATCCACCAGATGCTCTGCTGGAGAAGAAGGGGCAATCTCCTCCTGTACCAATCAGATCCAATTTGATGGTACACACATAAAAAATAATAAAAACAAAAAAAAAAACCAACACAATAGAAACACAAAAAAACTAAACACAAAGTCATCATATATCACAATACAGAAATAATCTTATTTTCTGTTTTTATTATTAGTTTTTATTTAAGCAAAGAGAACATTTATAAATCTATTTCAAAACCACATAAATTAATTACCTTCAATATATGCATCCTCTTTTAAAAATACAATCTTGTATTAGTATAACGAAAGACAGATGTGATTTCTCTTTCCACAACTTCCCTATTTTCTATAGCAAAAGTTTTGTTGACATCTGTCTCTAATCTTATTCTTTCTCTAGAGGAAAAAAGTCACCATTATCAGTTTGGTGGGTGACTTTCTACAGCATTTATTGTGGTTCTAGACATAGTAAATGCTGTACAGAGACATACACCACTGACTACGTTTTAAGACACATTAGGGACCACTGGTGGTGTGGTCGGTAACCCAACGCAAGTGGTTTGAATGAATCTGTGACTCCACCTGACAAAGATGCAATTTACATCCTCTAAAAATCCGCTGGAGGGCCAGCTATGAGTTGGTTCCTTCTTGATGGCAACGAGAGTTTAGATACATGAAAACACTAGAAAAACTCATCTAATTGATGAGTCAATTCTAACTCACAGCATCATAATGGACAGAGTAGAATTTTCCTAAAGTCTTTCAAGGCTGTAAATCTTTTCATGGAAGCCAACTGCCACAACTTTCTTCCATGGAGTGGTTGAGCACTCACCATTAGAGGCTCATCTTACACACATACCCATATGAAAAATACAAAGCTGACTCTTTTGTAGGAAGCTCTGGTGGTCTGGTGGGTAAAGAGTTTCGCTGCCAACCCAAAAGCACACGGTTCAAATCCACTATATGTTTCATGGGAGAAACATGTAGTTTTGATTTTATAGCCTTTGAAAATTCAGCAGAGTCAGCTATGAGTTGGTTCTGATTTGAAGGCACATAACACCACCACTACCACCTTTATGTGTGGGATTAATATGAAAGGAAAGAATTTGCTCACCTCTTAACAATAGAACTTAAAAAAGCTTTCACATTACTATATAGATCTACTTCATTCTTTTCAATGGCTAAACTGTATTAATTCCCAGTTTAAAAGTAACATGAAAAACCATTCTCATGCTTTCAATGTTTAGTCTATTATGCCCTGTGGGTAAAAAGTTACCTCCGATGAGATATATGCTGCATTCCTTTGCTACTTCAGAAAGCTTCTGCGTAGATTCACCAGGAATTTTCTCTGCATATTCAGGAAAATATTTTGTGCCATATGGAGAATTAAAACATTCCTAGAATAATGTTGGCAAAGAAAAAGAAGAGGAAAACCACCAAAATAGTCGATCTAGTTTAATATTCTGCTGTAACACACAGCTGCTTCTTTTGTATTTGCTCTCAAAAAAGACTAAGGCACAGCAAAGACCAACACTGATACTTTGAGGGCCATAGACAGGACTCAAGAGTTGGCTCAGGAGAAACTAGAGGACACAAGTCACATGTCAGCTTGCAGAGGCCAGATGTATTTTTGCCAGAATAACTGGTTCCTTACATTGGATATTAGGGAGCTCTGATGGTCTAGTGGTAAGGAACTGCATTGCCAACTCAAAGGTATATGGGTTGTACCTACCAGCTACTATGCTGGAGACAGGAGGATAATCTCCTCCTGTGTGATTTATTGCCTCTAGAAATCCCCTAGAGGGTCAGCGAAGAGTCGGTTCCAGCCTACTCAATAAGAGTCGACATAACCTTGGGCATCAAGGATTTTATAAGTTCATTGTGTCCCCTAAAATATGAGCTGTCAATTCTAACCCTGATACCTGTGGATGTAATCTCATTTGGGAAAAAGGTTTTCTTTGTTCTGTTAGTGAGGCCATATCAGTATACATGATGCCTTAACAATTTCTGAGACATGAAAAGCTCAAATTAGCCAGAGAAGCAAGCAATAATGAACAGGGCAGAGAGCTGTCACATACAGATCTTCAAGGAACACCAAGAAGGAAGTTAGAGAAACTGAGACAAGGATTTTGCGTCAGAGTGAACAGCAAGAACCTCTGCCCAGCGGGCACTCTTGATTTCAGGCTTCTGATATCCTAAACTGTGAGATAACACATATTTGTTAAAGTCACCCCTATGTGGCATTTCTGCTACAGTAGCACTAACAAACTAAGACACAGAATTGCTTGCTTGCACAAGGCTCATTTGGATAGTCAATGAGTTGGCAAATGCGAAACTCAAGTGCTTTGACTCCTAGATTTTTTTTACTCTAATAATGGTAACATACACCAACAATAGACTATCAGGGGACAGATACAGAAAAGTCCTACAACTGGAGTCAAATGGAAGAGGGGCTTAGCATGAAGAACTTGGACTCCTTGTTAAATAAAGATTCCTACTCACTGGCTACATTTATGATAGACTGACATCTGAGTAACATATGTTGGCCCTGAAAATTCTCGAGTTTTCAAAGGGGTGCCTCCTCTCCATGAAAATGAGAGAGATTTGGGGGCCCACCTGGAAGCATTCTACACACTGATTTTCATCAAACCTTTGGCGCTGATACTTATAGATGTATGTGCTGGCCTTTGTAATGATTCCCCCTGTAGGGCGAATCCTGGACTTGCTGACAATGTGGTCAGTCTTCAGTTGGTTCTACTCTAGAACAAATTACTTTGGAAAGAGAGACTAAGTCCTGTTGATTTTAAGATGCCACAGGCTCCCTCTATGTTTCTAACTCTTTTAATTACTTTTCTAATGTTGGAGGCTTAGTGTTAAAACCGCTATGTCTTGGTCCTGTAAAGACTTACTGTATTTGGAACAAATGTTCAATATCCAAATGCATGGAGGATTTAGCTTTAAATAAGTTCAACAACTTTCTAGGATTTTGGTTTTCTCATCTAAAGAGAGTAAACGATCCTAAAGTTAAAGCCCTACACAAATCTTTGCATGTCTGGTCACAAAGGATCTTGCTGGGGCCCTTACCCAGAAAAATGTGGGAAGATCGTGAGGTTCCAATGGGTGTTGCTAGACATTGGCACATAAAATCATAACTAGGAATAGTAAACACCATTCTGATGGATCCACAGTTCCCAGGAACGGGTGGCTTCTTTTGTACTCACAGGCAGAGACACAATTTTGGCTCCTTGTTTAGCTGCCTCCCGGATAAGGCCACAAGCTCGAGTGAGGTTATCTGATTTGATGGAAGAAACTTGAAGCTGGATGAGGGCCAATCGAAAAGCTGAGAACAAAGATTAAAAAAAATAATAATAACAACAGTTGTCAGCAGATCTGACTAACAAATCCAAATCAGAGCTGTGGTTCTTGGAGTGCAAACTTCCTCCCAAGAGACATGTGGCAACGTGTGGAGATATGTTTGATTGTCATGACTGGGGGTAAGCTACTAGTATCTAAGGGATAGAAACTAGGGATTCTGTTAAATATCCAACAAAGATAGGACAGTCTCTAAACCAAAGAATTGTCCATTGCAAAATGTCAACAGTGCTGTGGGGTTGATAAACTTTGAGATGGAAAAGATTCACTGAAAAAAGCGACATGCCGGGCACAAGAATCTGAAGTCAAGGGTCAGTGCCAGTTTCTTCCCATACAGTATGGGAAACAGGACTTGACTGAGATGAGAAGCCTGGGTCTGAATCCTATCCCTTACTATTTGATCTTGAGTTTCCCACTCACCCCAGATTCAGTAACAGAGCTCATCCCAGCACACGATTCGCAAAACCTTGTGGTTTCCTGACTTCTGTGAATACAGACAGTAGATCCATGGAGAGGAAATGCCTGTACCACTTTTCCACCAAGGTCTGGGACCCGGTACACTGTTCCAGCAGCTGACAGAAAGTAGGGCCTGCCAGTCAACAGGCTGCCCAGGCCCCGAGTCAAGGATAGGCCTAGAGCACCCGAGAGGCACTCAAAAGGGCACTGTACCCAAGGGTACACAACTGAATAGCAAATAAAAAATAGTATTTAAAGCAGCCTCTAAAAGGGCAAAACAAAATTTAACTAGGATATAAATGGCAAGGCTAAAGTGCCTATGAACACATTTTGGAAGCTTCGGAATCTGTCCTGAGTAATTGTATTCTATTAACCTGAATTATACACAGTCTTTAACTTCCCTAACATGGTTCTGGTTAGGGAGCTCTGATGGCTTAGTGGAAAGAAGCTATGCTATAATCCCAAAGGCATGCAGTCAGAATCCACCAGCTGCTCACAGGAAAACAATGGGCAATCTCCTCCCATGCAATTTGCTCCCATTGAAAACTCACTGGAGGGTCAGCTATAGGTCGGGTCCCACTCAATGGCACACATCAACAACAACAATATAGTTCTGTGTGGTCTGTGACAGATTTTGGACTCAGTAAAGCAGTAAGATTGGCGCTAGGATGAGCAGAAAAAGGTCTGGAAGCATGGAGAACACCTGTGCCCTCATGGGAATTGGTTTTGTGTTGTTGACACTATTGACAGGGACAGTTCCCCTTTGTGAAGTTGGAAAGGTCAGATATGGCCATCCCCATGCCAACCTTGCTCTTTTTATACCTACATAAGTGGAAACACACACCGTGCTTACACTGTGCTTAAGGAATACTTAACATTATGAAAATGTCACTACTAACTCCAAGCAATCTATAAATATAATGAATCATCCAAATTCCAATAATACTCCTTAAAAAAATGGAAAAAAACTCATCATTAACTTTATGTGGAAAGGAAAGAGGTCCTAAATAGGTAAGGTATTACTGAAGAAGATGAAAAAAGTAGGCGGCTTCACATTTCTTGATCACAGAACCTATTACATATGCACCTGTTAAAACTGCCTGGTACCACTCCAGACACACAGCTCAGTAGAATAGAACTGATAAATCATATATGATTTATAAATCCATCTACCTGTGAATGCTCCTTAGGGGAAAGGATGGTGAAACTTCATCTCACTTACTTTGGGCATGTTGCCAGGAGGGGCCAGTTGTTGGAAAAAAGATGACATGCTAGGAAAGGTGGAAGGTCAGCAAAAGGGGAGAAGACCCTCAACAAGACTCACCCTAAACCATGGGCTTTCATATGACAGACTGTGACAAGGGTAACGTTGAGATATATTGTTCATAGAGTTGCTATGAGTCTTCGTTTACTCAATGGCACATAACAATAAAAACATAAGAGCAACTGACCTTCAAAAAGGGTTATGGTCCATTAAATGATGCTGGCAAAACCAGATAGCCATTTGCAAAAAATTAATCAGGACTCACACCTCACACCACATACAAAATGGATCAATGATCTAAATCTGAAATCTAAAGTTACAAAGTTTATGGAATTAATAATAAGGATAAGGCAAGAAGTTCTACTCTGTGGCATAAATAGAATGTCAAACTAAAACTATATAAACAATAGAAAATAAATAACTAGAATTTGTTAAAAATGAAAGACTTATATTCACATACACAAAACCACCAAATAACCCAACTTTAGCAAAAGAGTAATATGCAAACTGACAGAATGGGGTGGGGGTGGGGGAAATTCTGGAAATGACATACCTGTCAAGGATTTAATCTCTAAAATGTATACAAGATCCCAACACTTCAATAACAAAATCAGGAACATATAGAAGGTCCTGGTTAGAATGAAGAAAAATTTGTAAAAAAAAAAAAAGACCAAACTTACTGGTCTCACAAAGAACAGAGCAACTGCTCAGACTACTGTCCTGAATCACTCTTCAAGGTAAACTGAAGCTATTTTTGGAGGCTACTTTGTAGCCAAATGCTACACTGCCCTAAAAACTAACAACACCCATGAGGAATGTGTTTCTTAAAACAATCATACAAATACATATAAATACAAATATGATATACAAATATCATACCGAAAGGCAAAATCTACCCAACACCCCCCAAAAAGCAGGAGGGAGCAGGGAAACAAAAGGATGGAAATGAGGAGCATACGGTGGAGATAGGGAAACCCAGGTAGAGATGGGGAGCCCAGCGTGGAGACAGGGAACCCTGGTTAGAGCATTTTATATATTGCAGAGATTGCAAGCAATGTCAAGGAATACTTTGTGCATGAAAGGCAAATTAGTTTGCTATGTAAATTTGTGTCTAAAGCGTAACAAAGTGTTCAATAAATAAATAGATAAATAGATAAACTACCATGGCAAAGTAGCAACATTCCCCACCCTCCATTTGTAGAATAAGAGACTAAAAATATTTTCATTTTGGATTTGGTCTTGTACATTACACAATTTTACCAATAATGTTTAAATCTTGGGCAGAGATGGTCAAGAACTTACAGATTTATTCCTTCCTTGATATAGTAGCTGCACACTGTTTGCACCTACTATATTTGTGTGGTCTTTCAGCTCTTGTATGAATCACTGTTACTAGTGATTCTTTTTTTAATTAATGATTTTTCAAATGCAACATATATTTATTTTTCACAGAACATTCTTTCCAATTAACTCTCCCCCCCATTGATTAACTGATGCAGATTTTTCTCCCTACCCACACCTCCAACCAGTTTGGTTTTCTCTTTTAAAAAAAATAATAACATTATTCCATTGTTATACAATTCCCCCTTGCCCTAGTCCACTTTACTAAGCATTTCTTTTTCTGGAATCCTGTCATGAAAATAATACCTAATCCTATATTCCTTTTAACCCATTCTCTCCCTCATCTGTTTCAATGCAGTATACATAATTTACTGAAGTTTTCTCAGTCTCACCCCAACTCTGATGACAGTCCCATTCTACAATAGTGGCACCATACAGCACCTGTCCTTTTGTGACTGAGATATTTCACTAAGCATAATGTCCTCCGAGGTCACCCATTTTGAATAATATTGCATGAGTTCCTTGTTTTTCAATGCAGCGTAGTATTCCATTGTGTGAATATACCACAGGTTCTCTATCCATGATGGGCACACAGGTTGTTTCCAACTCTTTGCTATTGTGAACAAAGCCGCAATAAACATGGGTGTGCACATACAATGACTTTTAAGGTCCTTGGTTGTCCTTAAAGGAGACCTGCTGGACAAGTGTGCAACATGTCCGCTAACTGAAAGGATGGTAGTTCAAATCCACCTTCACCTGACTACAGAAAGATAATCTCTTTCCATAAAGATTTATAGCCTCAGAAACTTGATGAGTGGTCCTTAGGTCGGCAGTTAGATTTGGGGTATTTTTGGTTGGTTGCCCCAAGAAGTCCTGGTGGCACAGGAGTCAAGTATTTGGCTGCTAACTGGAAGGCTGATGATGAAACTGCTAGCCACTCTGAGGGAGAAAGATGTGGCAGTCTGCTTCTAGAAAAATCCATGGCCTTGAATATTCTACAGAGCATCCTCACTCTGTCCTATGGGATTATCGTGAATCAAGATCAAACCCATGACAGTGGGGCTGGTTTCCATAAGTGGCTGTCCTAGTCTAACAATGAGGACTTACTAAAAGAATGAGAAAGAATAAAGCAACTCAAGGGAAGAAATCATCATACCAGCAATACCTCGGTTATTCACACATAAACATTATTAAAATGAAAATCTGGAATTATTCTGTGGGATGGTGGGGGGAAACGACTGGATACCTTTATTGGGGAAAGGGAAGTTATATAACTTTAAATCACTCTTTTTGTTGTTGTTGTTAGGTGCTGTCAAGTATTCCCATAGTGATCCTATGAACAACAGATCTGAACCCTGCCTTATCCTATGCCATCCTCACACTTCCTGACACATTAGAACCCATTGAGGCAGTCACCATGTCAATCCACCTGGTCAATGGTCTTCCTCACTTTTGCCGACCCTCCACCTTTCTGAGCATCTTGTCCTCTCCAAGGAACGGTCCCTCTGAGCAACATGCCCAAAGTATGTGAGGCAAAGCCTCATCATCCCTGCCTCGAAAGAGCACTCTAGCTGCACTCTCTCCAAATCATGTTTGTTCTCTTGGCCCTCCATGGGATGTTCTGTGCTCTTTTCCATCACCACAGCTCAAAGGCATCAACTCTTCTTCTGTCTTCCTTATTTATTGTCCAGCTCTCAGATGTATAGCAAGTGATTGGAAAGGCCATGGCAGGAATAAGATGCACCTTCGTCCTCAAAGTGACATCATTACTCCTGAATAATTTGGAGAGGACCCTAACTGCAGACTTTCCCAGTGCAATACATTTCCTGATTTCCTGACTGTTACAAGGGTATTAATTGTGGATCAAAGCAAGATGAAGTTGTTGACAGTTTCAGTTCTTTCTCCATCTATCACGATGCTGCTTATCAGTCCAGTGGTAAGACTCTTTTTTGTTTTCTTGACATTAAGATGCAATACATATTAAAGGCTGTATTCGTTAATCTTCTACAAAAAGTGTTTCAAGTCTTCCTCGCGTTCAGAATGCAAGGTTGTGTGATCCACATAATACAGGTTACTAATGTGTTTCCCTTCAATCCTGATGCCACATTCCTTGTCACAGAGTCCAGCTTCTCAAACAATTTGCTCAGCATACAGATTGAACAGGTATGGACAGAGAAATCCAGCCTGATGCACACTCCTTTCCTAATTTTAAACCATGTAGTGTTTCCTTGCTCTGTTCATACAACAGCCTCCTATTATAGGTATAGGTTTCACATGAACACAATTATGTGCTCTGGGACTCACATTCTTCTCAATGTTAGCCATACTTACTATGATCCACACAGTTAAATGTCTTTGCATAAATTTAAAAAAATGCTTTATAAAGCATAAATTAAAACAATCTTTAGGAAGCCAGATTTGTTCAATTTTCCACTCCAACCATGGGGAGCTCTGGTGGTCTATGGTAAAGAGCTACTGTAGTACTGGAGGTTTATTGTTTAAAATGGTCCCCTGGGGTGGAGGGGTGGCGGGCAGGGAGAAAAGTGCAACAATGAATGAATGGAAATCCAAAATCTCTGTAAATGTTCATTGAAACTAATAATAATAATAAAAATTAAAAACATAAAATGGTTCCCTATCTATTAATTTATTTTGCCAAATGGATGGGCAGGAATACGCAAATAGGACATTTTAGCCTATCCACAGGGAGTTTGGCTAGTCTAGCCATTAAATCGAGGGGATCCAGCAGCAGAATTGGACAAATCACACCACCAGAAAGGAAGTGAGAGAATGCAACTTGTCTTTCAGGAACAGAGATTCGTGTGCCAGGCAGACTACGGCCTATAGAAGCAACAGTCATAGCAGAGAACTGGAGACCTGACATGAGACAGAACATACATTGGGACTGCTATGCCACGGAACTGGAGCTAAGAGATTTTTGCCCAAGTTTGTTGGAGGACTGGGGTGGGGAGAAGAGAGCCGTAATTGCTAGGACTGAGAACTTTGTAAAACTGGCCAAAAGCAGTGAGGTTCGAGGCTGAGGTGGCTGCAAGCACATTTCAGAAGCTGTCCTGATCATATTCTGCTACTAACCTGGATTACAACTTTTCAACTTCCTCAATATGGTTTTGCGTGGTCTACGAGCATCTGCATTAGATGTTGGACCCAGTAAAGTAGTAAGGTTTGTGTTAAGATGAGTAGAAAGAGGTATAGGAACGTGGAGTACATGTCTGACTTCACAAGAACAAGTTTTGCGTTGCTGATGCTGTTGATATAGTTATCTCCATACAGCCCTTGCTCTTTTTTCAGCTACCAGCCCAAAAGAATGCAGTTCAAATCCACCAGCTGCTCCGCAGGAGGAAGACGGGCAATCTCCTTGCAACCGTTTTACTGCCTCTGACAACCTGGTGGAGGGTTAGCTATGGGTCAGCTCAGACTCAACAAACCACTACGACCCAAACCACGGAGAGGTCTCCAATCCATCTGCCTCTGTCATGCTCCATCATCACACAGTCCTCAGCCTTAAGTATGTTAAAGGGTTTCTGTAACCTATTCTGAACGTTTAGCTCCCAGTTTCCACTGCTCTAAGGAAGTGCAATCACACTATTTCACAGTAGCTTCAAAAGACCTCTGTAAAAACACTTTCTATACATTCTACATGTCAGAAAACCGAGGTCCAGAGAAACTAAATGGTAAAATGATTTTGTTGACATCCTATGGAAAGCTACTAAGTGGCTCAACACTAAGCTTCCAGGCTTCGAGTCAAGAACACGTTCTGCCTCAGTTAAAATAATTTTGCCACGGCAATGAGACAAACAGCCAACAGCTCACCCCAGTGGACTTCGAAGTCAAACAGACTACAGTGATACAAGGTAAATAACAAACAATGCGTATCTAGAAGCTCAAGGTCCCCCGCATTTTCCTGTGAGCTTGAAGGCAGTACAAAAATGGAGCAAAAAGATCCCGTTTTCTTACCGGACGTGCACCGCACTGATTCCGAATTAACTCATTGACAACGGTTCTTACTATGCTGCCTAAATAAAACAAACAAACCAAAACGACATCTGCTTTGTTTCCACCTGACAAGTTTCAAAATAATTAAGACTATTACAACAGGTTTAAATAAGCAGAGATTTTGTGGACGGCGTAGGGTCTGACAAGTTTTCAGTGTGTTGTACAGCGGTCGCTCCGAGTGGGAACCAACATACGGGACCTACGAACAACTTTTGCTAAATCAAATGTCAATCCAAGGGGAAGAGGTTGAAAGAAATCTCACTGGATAGGTTGGATTCTAATACAAAAATAAAGATCCCGTAAGACGGATGTTTTCACTCTCGAAGAGGCATCCGAATTACCCGGTTTTCCTGAAAGCACAGAGGCCCCGGCCTACTTTCAGAGACGGCCTTTTCTGCGGGTTGGGGTGAAGGTGCGGGAGCTGACTTTTAAGGGGCACACTCTGCTCACTCTGGGTGATGCTGGGCCAGGTAGCCCGAACTCCCCTGGAAACAAGGCGGGACTGGGCTGCGGGAGGCAGCGTGCAGCAGGTCGGCAGGGCCCGGAAGCCGGCCGCGCTCCCGGAAGACTGGAGGCGGGAGGCCCCCCCCCCGACGTCCTCCCTCCCTCGCCAGGCCGCCCCTGTCACCCCCGCAGCCTCCCCGTCAGGGGTCGGGCCGCGATCGGTGCCACTTACTGGCCATGGTTCTCCCGAAAAGCACCATGAGCCCGCGGCCGAGCCGTCCTGTCCTGCGGGCCAAAATATTGGGCGCTCCGAGGCTTGTGCTCCGCCCCCTGCCGATCTGCCCGCCTCCCTTGGCGTTCGTTCGCCTGAGCTGCAAACACTTTGTTTTGGTTTGGTTTTTTGCAAACACTTGTTTAAAAATTAGCCTGTTTGCGTTACTCAACTGGATGGATAACCCTCTCCAGGACAAACCTGTTCATTCTCTTAGCAGTCCACGGTATATTAAATACTCTTCTCCAACAACACAGCTCAAAGGCATCAAATCTTCTATCCTCCCTAAGTCATTATCCAACTCTCTGACGCATAGCACGTGATTGCAAAGACCATGGTCTGTTTTTATATAAAAAATATTAAAATTATTTTAAACTTAATTACAATATAATCAGGCGCCTGGAACGCCTTGAAAACTAAAGGGGCAAAGAGGGGTGATTGAAGTTCCGGTAGTGCACTGGTATATCGTTCATTAGTGGGCTCCTAATTTTGTTTGAGTTTAATTGAGTTTGAGAGCTGGAGAAAAGGCTGGAAAAGCCTTCACTTATGTTTAGCGTCTGCCGATTCTCTGCAAAAAGAACTTCTTGCAAGTTGGATCATCCTTGTGGCCTAGTCTCTCTGAACAAGTTGCTGTGACAAAGGGGATGGAATTATTCTGGCTCTTTAGGTTTCTTGTCACTGTGTTCTATCTATAACAGGAGAAGAAAATACTACAGGGTCAAATAGTCCTAAAAAACAAAAGTCCTCTTAATGTTGTGAAATCTGGCTGCTAGTATCTATCAGGACTTTTTTGGGTCTTTTGTTGCTGTTTTGTGCCGTGGAGTGGCCTGCAACTCATTAGCAACCCTATCTACAACAGCCCTAAACCCTGCTCTGTCCTGTGCCCATCTTACTGTCTCCAACACACCCATCCTGATTACCCCAATCACTGAATCAATCCATCTCATAGAGGGCCTTCCCCTCCTGCGCTGTCCCTCCACCCTACCAAGCATGACATCCCTCTACAAGGACTGGTCTCTCCTTGCAACATATCCAAAGTATGTTAGACGGAGCCTCAGAATCCTTGCCTCCAAGGAGCGGCCTGATTTAACCCTCTCCAGGACAAACCTGTTCATTCTCTTAGCAGTCCATGGTATATTAAATACTCTTCTCCAACAATACAGCTCAAAGGCATCAATTCTTCTATCCTCCCTAGTCATTATCCAACTCTGACGCATATTATTTTAATAGTTTAACAATCTTTCGGGGGGGGGGAATAGGGAGAGTCTCCTTCCATGTGATTTACTGCCTCTGAAAATGGGCTAGAGGGTCAATGGAGTCAGTTAAACACCTCACAGTGCTCAACAACATCTATATGTTGTTGATTGCCTTAGAGTCAAGCATGACTCAAGGCGACCCTATGAACAAAGGGCCTGAAGCCCCTCTACAGCTATCGACATTTATCATGTTTAAACATATATGGCTTTGTAATAGTTTACGATGAAATGAAATCTAGGATGAAATGGAACACTGTAAGAACATTTTGGAGTTTGTTGTTACTTGCCATTGAGTTGACTCCGACTCATAGCGACCCTATGTACAACAGCTATTAACCCTGCTCTATCTTGAGCCCACCTCATTGTCTCTGACACACCTATCCTCCATTACCCCAGTCACTTAGTCAATCCATCTCATTGAGGGTCTTCCTGTCTTGCACTATCCCTCCACCCTTCCAAGCATGATGTCACTCCCCCAAAGTATGTCAGACCGAGCCTCAGAATCCTTGCCTCCAAGATTTCACCCTCTCCTGGATGAACCTGTTTGTTCTCTTGCAGTCCATGGTATATTCCGTACTCTTCTGCAGAACCACAGCTCAAAGTCATCAGTTTTTCTATCATCCTTAGTCATTGTCCAGCTTTCTGATGCATAGCACTTGAGATATTTAGAGGTACAACATTTATCTGTCAGTTTGTTGTAGTGGGAGAATTATTTTTTTTATTTTTTTAATTCAATGAACATCTACAGAGATTTTGGAATTCCATTCATTCATTGTTGCACTTTTCTCCCCATGCCGCCCCCTCCTTCACTCTTCTTGAAAAGCAAAACTCGTTCATTGGTACACAATCCCCACCCCGCACACACCACCAACCTTACCTCACCCCAAATATAATCCACTCTGCAACCGTCATTCCATACTCTTATGATAAATATAATGCCCTAAAATAGAATACTTTTAAACTATTCTCTCCCTCATAGACTTCAATGCAGTAAGCGTAATTTATCCAGTTTTTGTCTTACCCCCACCCCGACGTCAGCCTCATTCTACAAGTGGCACCATATAGCATTTGTCCCTTTGTGACTGAGATATTTCACTCAGCATCATGTCCTCCAGTGTCACCCATTTTGAATAATATTGCATGAGTTCCTTGTTTTTCAA